GTGCTCTTCCTTCACATTAATTCACTGAAGGAAGGAAAGAGGTGGCAGTCTTCCACAATGTCTGGTAGGTCCTGAAAAGTTATTATTCCGCTCCCAAATCAAATTTTAGCTGGTTTCATCTCATTTATCTGCAGAGGTCAAGTAGTGAAGTAAAAGGGAATATTTCATGGGAATTCACAATGGTGTATAAATATGTGGTGTTTTGAAACCTAAGAAGTATTAAGTGATGTTTTAGCCTCAGAAGTTAGCACATGCACCAAAACCCGGCCTGAGGCACTGGTGCTGCTCTGGAGAGAACGCTGTACTCACCACCTCCATGTCTTCTGTAGAAGCCAAGGAGAAGCATGCTCTGAAGTAAGGGCTCGGAGCTGAGCTATTGGTATAGAAAGCACTCCCAGGAATCAGTAAAACCTGAGAGGTGGTGAAAAGTAAGTGATGTTGCCACTGAAGAATAACTAAAACACAGGCAGACCTAACCTCAGCGTGAGAGGGATGTTCTAAGCTTAAAACCAGTTAATGAATTCATAAAAGAAAACAATGGTTTATGTAAAAATTGTGAGCCACTCAACAAGAAGATTAACTGGTAGAAATTGGTCAAAACAATTCCTTCTTTTCCTTTGAAAGGATGAACAGAAACTGAAAAGAAACATTATGATGTGCAAAAGAAAGTTTATGGAACAAGCAGAAATGGCAATCAGTACAAACCATTATCTAATTTACTTAGAAAATTCAGTGAGAATATTTATAGTTAACAATTTGACAGCCATTTTTTAAAAAAATTATACTTGCATTTATTCATTTCAACAAATGTTTACAAAGTAAAATGCATCAATTATAAGGATAAATAGCATGTGATGGGATCACAATAAGATTACACTATAATACGAGATAATAGCAGCACCAAAATGAAATGTGAGAGACAATTTCTAGTTAAAGTGTGCTGATCTTTACACAGTGTTCAAGAAGAGACAAGTCCACTTGTTTATTTAGGTGAAACATAAAAGCCAAAAGTCCAAGAGGACCCATTAGAAAGGATATGAGGGGTGTGGAAAATGGAAAATAACTCCCTGAACAACACAGAGAAAACCTTGATGGACAGGACAACAACAAAGAAAAAAATTCAGAAATTCAATAAAACACAGTAGAGTAAAAATAAGAAAGAATATTACAAACAAAACCCACAAACCAAAATGACAGAACTTCAGTCCCAATGTATTAGTTATGAAAAGAGAAAACATTCTTCTGTTAAGAATGTTTCTAAGATTTAATTATAAAAGTATGTATAAATACTTTTTGTAAGACAGACAGTAAAAAACAAATAAACAAAACCAGATAGTATGATAATATTACCATCAGGCAAATTAAACGTTAAGGCAAAAATGATTTAGAGGAAAGAAAAAGATTATTGAATTATAACAGAAAACAATGCATTTTATGATTAGTGATAAACTTGTTTGAGACAAAACAACAGGCTCAACATATGATAGAAAAAA